CACACACACACACACACACACACACACACACACACACACGGCCGTGCTAGGCGTCGACTTGTGCAATTGGACGCGTGCATGCACTGAAAATTAAAGTGTGCGTACAGACATCGCATACACCGGCAGCAGCGTGGTGTGCGACGATCATACACTTTGGATCTCCACAGTGTGCTCGATGTTATTCCGATTGCCCGTGCGGACTCGGAGGATGGACCCTCCTCCTAATCACACACGGCGTGTGTCGCCTTCCTCCTCCTCATGTGTGAGTGAGTGGAGCCCGACGACGGCGTCGATGACGGGCGCCGAGTTCCGCGAACAGCCCGGGCCGCAGGAGGCAGCCGCCCGCAGGCAGCAGCAGGCCGGCCAGCGCCTCGAGGCCAGCGAGGCCAGCGCAACCTGCTCTAGACCTGCTCCCCGGGGGGGTCCTCGAGGGCCCCGCGCTCGCACCGTCCTGACGCGGGGCCCGGCCCATCAAGGACCCGCTAACCACCGCAGCAGCAGCAGCAGCAGCAACAACAACAACTGCACCAACCAACCGAAACACACAAAAAAAAATGAAACCGGCTAGCGGCGCCGTCTTTACAACCTTGGTTCTAGACACCACACCTCGCCGCGCGGCCTACATGGTGGCGGGTACCCGACAAGTGCGTTCGACGACAATAACAACAAAACGATAACAACAACAACAACAAGGTGCGGGCGCGACGCGAAGCGCGAAGCACTCGTCGCGCGTCGGACGGCGGCCGCGGAGCGCAGAGCGACACTGGACAAGACCATTGCGGCGCGCTCGCGAGCGTGTGCCCACCTCGCCCCCCCACCGCTCGACCGGCGGCCCACGAGAGCGACGGAGACATACGCTGAGTCAGAGCCTCAGTCCCTCTCTCTCTCTCTCCCTCTCTCTCTCTCAGCCAGCCCGATCCTTGACTTATCCTCCTGGTATCATCCTCCTCCACACCGCTATCTCTCTCTCTCTCTCTCTCTCTCTCTCTCTCTCTCTCACACACACACACACACACACACACACAAATTTAATCCACCATTTTAGATTTTTCCTGTCCCTCACGATAAGTCCACGGCGGTCCATGTCACATCGTCCTCTGCTGCTCGCGGCCCTCGACCGTCGGCGCGTTTGGCAACTCACTCCTCCCCCGCCCCGCCCCGCCCCGCCTACCTATACCTGGCACTCCTCCGGGACGTGTCCACGGCGTCCACGTGCCGCGCACAGGGAAACGTAAACAACCGCCGCGGCGACAAACAGAGAAAGAGATGGAGAGAGAGGAGAGGACGTGGTCGCCATGGCCGCGGGTACCGGAGGGGCTCAGGCGGGACCAGGCGGACCAGGCGGTCGGGTAGGCCACCCGTCCGGCAGCGCGGCATCGCACGTCTCGCGCTGCCTGACCGCCAGGAGGCGGTCGAACTTCGCAGTAACACGACACTACGTATTCTCAAAACAAATAATGTCTATACACACTTTTCGCTCTCTATTTTGTCCTCGCGTATTATTGGCCGATCTCCTGGTTTTATCATTTATGTTTCAATTATCACAACTTGCAACGTGCAATGTCCTACCCATGTTGATCTTTGTGCACAAAACACAATTTCACGAAATTGCAAGAATCTCAACACCCGTTGCTACTAACACTACTAACAATTGTTATGTTGCTACCTGTTATTTCTGTCTGTCTGTCTGCCTGTCTGTCTTTCTGTTAGAGCTGCATGGTGCGAATCGAGGTTTCTGCCTTCGAATCGAATCGAATCTCAAAAATTTTCTTCCAATCGGATCGAATTGAATTGGCTCAAAAATTTCGAATCGAATCGAATCAGTCCAAATTCGAGCCCGAATCGAATCGAAAAAGAAATCTGTTGTATATTTCATATGCAAGTCACGCGGTCATTTTAAACTCATTTAATCTGACCTGCTGTTCGACGACTGTACAACGTGTAGTGCGGGCATAGAGTGGGTGCCGCACACTAGACCCCAATGCGATTCGATGTCGAACCAACCCGATTCGAAATTTCGAATTATTCGACATCGAATCAGGCAAATTCGAAATCGAACGAACTCGAATTAGGCCGAGTCGATTCGATTCGATATCGAACAACTCGCACAGCTCTACTGTATGTCTGTCTGTCTGTGGGGATGAGCAGGTAGTCTGTTGTCTGAGGGTGTTGGGTAGTGTTTTGGCTCAGGCACACAGGCAGCACGCCCAAAGGGAGCGGTAGCTGCAGCGGGAGTCACTTAGCGCCACTTAGTGGCTCCCTGGACCCTCCCCGGCCGCAGCGGGGCAGCAAGAGAGTGCGAGGAGTAGGTGAAGGGGGGGGGGGGGGCTGATGAAAGAAAAAGGAGAGGAGTTGCGCACTGGTGTGTACGGGCTTGGGCAGGACTGTGGTTCACCGCGCGGCCGCACGGAGCCCGAAGAGCGCGCCACACTCCGGGCGCGCTGTGCCGAGTCGGCGCGTGCGCGGCGAGGGCCTGGAGACCAGTCGGAGAGGAGACCTGCAACAGGAGGCGGCCCGCCTGTAGGCCCGCCTGTAGTACCGCCTGTAGGACAGCCTGTAGGCCCGTTTGTATGTTCACCGATAGGTTCTTCTGAAGGCCCATAATTGTAGCCCGCCTGTAAGCCCTTTTGTAGGTTCACCTGTAGGTTATTCACCTGTAGGTTCACTTGTAGATTCACCAGAGGGTTCACCTTTAGGTTCACCTTAGGTTCACCTGTAGGTTTACCTTAAGGTTCAACTTTAGGTTCACCTGTAGGCCCGCCTTAAGGCCCGCCTGTAGGCCCGCCGCGCGGGAGTTCTGAAGCACAAGGCCACCTCTGGCCTTGGGGGGATAATCGCCTATTGTGTTCCACGAAAAAGGGAGATGTAATAATTTGCCATTATTATGGAGTCTCGGCTACGGCTGCCTCATCCTCAGCTGCTCCACCTCGGCACCGCGACGCATGCGTGGAATGCATGGAGCAGGCAGTGCAGTGCGGGCGGGGCGGG